GCCGCCCTGGCCCCGCCCCAGCGCTGCTGCTGCCCCGGGGTCTGCTGCTGCTCCCCGCAGCCTCCTTGCAGCCCCTGCCTTGCTGGGCCCCGCGCGCCGCGCCCTCCGGTGCTGCCCTTGCAACCGCGCTCTCCTGCGCCCCGCCGCCCAGTGCCCCTCTGTCCGCCCTCTGATCCCTTTCCCCAAATGAATAACGCTGTGCTCGCTGGAGAGGGGCGTGGGACGTCTTCCTGAGAACCAGTGCAGGGCTCTTCTTTGCAGGATAGTTACTGTTTCAGCGCGTCTCAGGCTGATGCTAGAACACTTCTCTATTCACCTCCCCCCGCCCTCCCAATTGCAAATCTAGCAGCGGTTATTCTTGCTAATTACTGCAAGGACTGAGAAATTCCGTCCATAGAAGTGAGGGGGAAACCATCTGGTGGGTGTGGAGGCCGATGCATTAATTTTTTTGCAACAAAAAGAGACTTCCAAGTCACTATGATCAGAAAGGGACTTGTTTCCTGGTAAGAAGTTTAAGCTTGCACTGAGCTGTTTTCCTGAATCTGCAAAGAGAGCTGTAGCATCTATTCCTCTGATAGCTTTGCCAAGTAGGTGCAGAGTAAATTGACATTATTTCCTGTCATTTTCTCTTTGTTTTTTAAATTCCTTGGAAGCATAATGAAACTAATAAGAGTCAGGTCTATTAATACTATTGCATGGTAAGCTATGAGCAAGGCCAGAGGTGGAAAACACAACCATTTATGGGTGAGTTTGATACTGTCCCTTTCCCTTCCCCCCCCCGGACACAATGACAACTGCAATATAAGGCTGAGTCTAGACTGGCATGATTTTGCGGAAATACTTTAAAAAAATTTTCCGTTAAAAGTATTGCCGCAAAAGCGCGTCTAAATTGGCACGGATGCTTTCGCACAAAAAGTGCTTTTGCGCAAAAGCATATGTGACCAGTCTAGACGCGCTTTTGTGTAAGAAAGCCCCGATTGCCATTTTAGCCATCGGGGCTTTTTTACACACAACAGTTCTTTCCTGTCTACACTGGCCCTCTTGAGCAAGTATTCTTGCACAATAGAGCTTTTTCCCGAGTAGGAGCGTGAAAGTATTTGTGCACGAAGCACTGATTTTGTACATTACGAAGTCAGTGCTCTTGAGCAAATTCAAGCGGCCAGTGTAGATGCATCCTAAGAGTTTGAGTAGCAGCAAAATAGTGGATACCTATCTGCCAGAAAGGATGAAGGAGCACAGAGCGCTACTCCTTTCTAGTAGCCTATAAAGGGAGAGGCAAAAAATTATTACAAACAAACTAGAGTCCCCAAACAGAGATTAGGGAAAACAAGTTGTCCATCACCCATTCTCTTGGGGTGAGATTGTTTTCTCATAATGTGTTGCCTTTGGCTCTTGCTGTTGGGACTATTCTCAAACTTGAACAGCCCTGGGACTGTTCCTACACTTCAAAGGCGGAGGTGCCCTTATTAACTATTCATATAGTCTGTGCAAATTGCATAGACTATTTGATTAACCAATTAATCTAAATTTAACATACCTAATAATACGGTCTTCACTATAAACTTAGTTTATTTTAATCCCTGAACATAGCTTAACATAATGACACAAAGGTGCATGCTTGTGATACTGATGCACAAGTATATATTTGTTTTATTAAGAATTATATTTTATTGGTTTATTTTAATGTAGTCTAGCTAATATTTTGGCAATATTATTAGTTATCCACAAGAACTTTTTTGCCATACTAAAGATTTTAGGTAAGTTTCTTCATTTTCTTTTCAGTGTATTTCTTGGAAGGATTGAAAGGGGGGAAATGTTTCCCTTAAAGGATGCTGTGATGGGTGTCTCCACCTTCTTTGCTTCAGCACTGCCACATGATGTTTGTGGAAGCAACGGCCTTCCTCTGACACCAAACTCCATCAAAATTTTGGGCCGTTTTCAAATCCTTAAGACAATTACCCATCCCAGACTTTGTCAATATGTGGACATTTCTAGAGGGAAGCACGGTGAGTGTTTTCTTTCCTAGAGAAGTTACATTTAAATGAAAGAAGGTATTTTACCGTAATGATTTAGTTGGTGTGATGGCAGCTGCTCCTGCAAAACCTTACCTTTGTGGCTTACATTTGGAGAAATGTTGTATATTTTGTTTCCAAAACAGTAGTATGCCTTTACTTGGACTGATTGCAGCAGTCTTACTGCTATGTCATTACAGATGACAAAAGCAGATGTAAAAGAGGTAAAATCTATTCTTTGGATCAATGTCTGTTGGTGAAAGAGATAAGTGTCATTCTTAGTACTGTAAACTTCCGATAATCTGGCACCTTTAGGACCCAGGGGGTGCTGGATTATCAGATATGCCGGGTTACGAGGGGTCCGGGATGGGGTGGGAGGGATGACAACCCAGACCCCTCATAGCCCACCCCCTTCCGATAGTCTGGCTCTGCCCCAGAAGTCTCCGATTCAGCCACTCCTGGTCAGTATCAGCAGGGTCTGAATCTGGAACGCTTGTGGCAGAGCAGCTGGGGTCCTGCTGGGTTGCTCCAGTATCGCCGCTCCTCGGTGCTGCGAGACCAACCCAGCAGCACCCCAGCTCTGACTGATCAGAGGCTGACTCCAGGAAGCCGGGGGCAGAGCTACTCTGCCCCGGGCTTCCTGGAATCAACTGCTGGTCAGTTTCAGCAGCAGGTGAATCGAGGGCGCCTGGGGTAGAACATCTGGGGTGCTGTTGGGTTGGTCCCATAGCGCCTCCCCTCGGCGTCCCCAAGAGCAGCTGAGGTGCTGCCGGGTTGGTCCCGCAGCCCCAAGGGACAGCGCTACGGGACCAACCCGGCGGCAGCACCCCAGTTGCTCTGCCCCCAGCTTCTCCGATTCAGCTGCTGGTCAGTTTCAGCAGCGGCTGAATCAGGGAAGCCGGGCGCAGAGCAGCTCCAATTGTCTGGCTGCCCGGAGCACTTCTGGGTTCCCGATGGTGCTGGACCATCAGGAGTGCCGGAGCATTGGATGCCGGACCAATGGAGTTTTACTGTACCTTACCCAGACCTGAAAAATACCTCAAAAACTTGTCTGTTTCCCCATCAGAAGATGGTTTAGTGAAAAGATATCTCAGTCACCTTGTGTCTCTAATATTTTGGGACCAACATGGCTAGAATATTGTTGCATAAAAGCAGATGTAGGTGGTTTGGCTGAAGATCTCAGTAATCAAGTTATCCACATAAGCAGGGCTCGACAAATCAGTGAATCTACTCGCCCGGGGCGAGTAGATTTCAGCCAGACGCCCTATTCACCGGCAGCATGCGCATGTGCAATGTGGGTCTTGCGCATGCGCGGTGCGGTGCTAGCGAGTAGATTTCGCTGCTGTTTGTCAAGCCCTGCACATAACAGTGAATGATAACTTCTAGGTATTTCCTTTTCTTTTTCACGCATTTCCCATCTTTTTTTCCTCACTCCTTTCTTCTTCTGCCTCCACCCCATTTTTTCCCTTGACAACTGTAGTTTTTTCTGTTCACTTATCTTGTGGGTTTCTGGAATTTATCAATGTATCTGGTTTTTTTCCCCACATTATTTAATTGCTCTATCCTTTCTTTTGGTGTTCAATGTTTAAAAGAAAGTTCTACTTAATAGTAAGTTCTACCTAATTCATACTAATAGGATGCTATGCAAACAACTTTTTGGAATTCATAAATGTAGTTGTTTCAAGTATTATTCTTAATTTTGTATCATCTTTGTTTATTTTGACAATCATTCAGTTCTGTTGAGAAATAATACAAGGGAATTGTCAAGTGATATATTTAATTATATAAACTGATAGCCTTCCTCTCCTGTCCTCCTGCATCCTTCGTACCCTAAACCAGTGTATACAGCAAATGTATTTAGGGGATTTCTGTCCGCATCTGCCATATGTCATCTATAGGCCATTGGAATACATTGAGCTACAACTCTCTTATTCCTTGCTATTCCCATCCTTTAATCTCCGAAACAGAAAGGCTACGTCTACACTGGCATGATTTTCCAGAAATGCTTTTAACGGAAAAGTTTTCCATTAAAAGCATTTTCGGAAAAGCGCGTCTAGATTGGCAGGATGTTTTTCTGCAAAAGCACTTTTTGCGGAAAAGCATCCGTGGCCAATCTAGATGCGCTTTTGCGCAAAAAAGCCCTGATTGCCATTTTCGCGATCGGGGCTTTTTTGCGGAAAACAAATCTCTGCTGTCTACACTGGCCCTTTTGCGCAAAAGTTTTTCGGAAAAAAACTTTTGCCTGAATGGGAGCAGCATAGTATTTCCGCAAAAGCACTGACAATCTTACATGAGATCGTCAGTGCTTTTGCAGAAATTTAAGTGGCCAGTGTAGACAGCTGGCAAGTTTTTCCGGAAAAGCAAGTACTTTTCCGGAAAAAGTGGCCAGTCTAGACACAGCCAAAAGGTTATCTGTTGCAAGCTACACTGTGGCTTTTCAGATGTGATTGAGTTCTAAAATGATTTTGATTACACCATCGGAATTTCTTCTGTTGTGACCCACATATGATTTTTGCTAGGGATGTTAAGTTCCGATTAATTAGCTAATTCAGTAGTCGATGGAATTTCCATTGACTACTAGATAGTTGATAAGTGGGTGGTACTCACTACCTCTGCTGGGGCTCTGCAGTTTAAACGTAGTGCTT